AAAAAAAAAAAAAAAAAAAATCAGGAGTTTAGCAAAGATTCATCCTGTGGAGGTAATAACAGTAACAGTAATATAAAGCATAGAAATATTTTTTCCAGTCAACATCCACAGTTAAGTGCTCACTGAAAAAAAACTTCGTTTCTTGAATACAGTATTAGGCTGTCTGGGTAAGATTGGGAAGATCATTCCACCAGCAAGGAACGGTGAACATGAATGTTTGGGAAAGTGACTTTGTGCCAGTGTTGTAGAAGCACAAGGTGTTGCTCACCCACCAACAGCAGGAGTGGAGGTCGATTTTTAAGAGAGCGAGGAGCCTGTGGCGGTCTTGAACTTGATGTGAGCGGTGAACGGTAGCCAGTGAAGACACATCAATACCTAGTAGCACTACATACCCAAACCATAACTCTTGCCTAACACATTGCAAAATATACATCGTCATAGCTTTGTAATATAATAAACATTTCATTTATATAAATCTGGTTCAAATTAACCAAAGCTGCACTAAAGATATAAAGCTATTATTTTAAATTAATCATAAAAATAAACTACTACACAGAACACTGTTTAGTGCTTTGCAAAGTGACTGTCAGTTTTTTTCATCATGAAATCAAGCCTTATACAAAATACCCTCTTAATGTTAAATCAATAAGATTCTGGCCCAGGATCTTCACCATATTTCAAATCGCTTGTCTCTGATGAAGTGCTTTCTATCACCGATTTTGTTTCCGAAGAGTCTGCAAACACAAAATTGACCACACCATGATATGCAAATCAACTGATGTGTTTCAGTTCATCTACACCTCTCAAAAATTAGGATGAGCAATATCAAAGTTGTTCAATCATCAAAGTGTAAAGTAAAGCTCTGCAAAACATGTATTCTACAATGAACCAGTGTCATTTATATATGACATGTAATTTTAAATATGCATGTTAGATATACAGACTTAATTGTATTTATTATTATTTTTTACATTATTGTAATGAAACGATTCTAGATTACATATTACAAAACTTGAGACTTGGATTGAATTAAACAGCCATGTGATTTTATCAACATGAAATGCAAATAATTTATCTTTTGTTTAGTTAGTCACTAAAACTACATTTCATAGGGGGTTAATAGACCTACACTAATAAAACACAGATCACACACACACTTACCGTACAGTCTGAATATTGCTGTGAGTGCAGACGACTCTGTGGATTCTCTTTGCTGATTCATCTGTGATAGTATTGTGACTCAGGCTGTAAGAAGAAATGAGATGAGAAGTTTAAACAGAAACATGAAGCAAATTTGAATACTGTGTTTTATATATATGTCTCATATGTCTGTGTAACTCACTCCAGAGTCTGGGGTTTGTGCAGATGTGGCAGCAGCGGCTCCATGCAGTGATCAGTGAGTTTGCAGTGACTGAGATCCAGTTCTGTCAGTCCTTCAGAATATTCCAGAAACACCGCCAGCTGTTCACAAACTCTCGGGTCCATCTGAGTGTGACTGAGGTCCATCTCTCCTCCCAAAGCCTGTGAAAGAGCCTCAGCGCTCCTCAAAGAGCCTCTCTGAGATCCATCTTTACTAATACAAGCCAGAAACTGCAGCAGCAGAGCTTTACTACAGCTGATGAGAGGAAGAACGCAACGATAAACATGAATGTGAGAATAATATACAAAGATTTCATATGGAGATAAATGAATACACTGTCATAGTAGCAATGAAAGGGATCTGTCAGATGTCTTACCTCAGCTGGACTTGAGGCAGGATTGGCCAAAGTTGTTTCAGGGCCTCATCAGAGAGCTCACAGTCCTGTAAGATCAACTTCACAATGCTTTGAGTTTTCTGAAGCACAGATGAGATTATTCTACAGTCTTTTTCAGTTAGTTTCAAATGCTCTTGGTTTTCCTGTGTGTCTGTTAAATCCAGAGCAGAGCAGCAGGAGAAGTCCAGTGTGTTGTGAAGAGCAGAGAGAAGAACATCTGCTGCCTCCTGCTGGAGATCAGAGGAACTGCAGCCTGTCAACACTAACACACACAGATACTGTTAACAAACATACACAAAAGAACAGTCATGTTTAATATAATATCAGTGCTGTTATATCAGTAAACCTGAGTTGTTTGACTCTGCTGAGTAAAGGCAGAAAGCTCTCTAGCTCCTCCTCTGGTATGGAGGTCCAGAGCAGATTGAGTTTGACAGTGTTGCAGTGCTCTAGAGTGAAGCGCAGGGCAGCACAGCGAACAGAGTCCAACACTCTGGCATTCAGGTTGATGTCATTTCCTATTGAACTCATCAGACTGGACACATACTGAGGAAAGCGAGTTTCGTAAATCTCCATAATGGTGGACAGAGTAAAGCTGGGGCTCAACCTGTGGAGAAGAAGATCACTTGATAAAATCTACTTGAATTATAGGCACTCAATAAACACAAATCCCCAAATTGAAAACTACAAGCAGCTTCAATGACTTCAGTGGATGCAGCTGTTGTGATGATGTCAGTTTGTAAGCTGACCTGGAAGGCTATTTTTCATTATTTATTATTTCAAGGCATTGATGTTTGCCTACAAAACACCACTGGCTCTGCACCCCTTTACCTAAATTAACTACTTCAGACTGATGTGCCCTCTAGACGTGAATGGTGCATTATAGTGCCATCCCAAAAAGGCACAAAATCACTTTCACAGACTTTTACATTAACTGTTCCCCCCTGGTAGAATGACCTGCCCAACTAAATTCGAGCAGCTGAGTCCTTAGCCATCTTCAAAAAACGGCTAAAAACACATCTCTTCCATCTTCATCTGACCCTCTAACTCTAACACTCTTTATTCTAATTCTAACAAAAAAAACATGACCCTCTAACACTTGCACTCTCTATTCTATTTCTATTCTTACTACTTTTCTTTAAAAAAGCCTTTAGCATTCTCTATTCTTTTTCTATTCTATCTACTTGTTTTCTTTTTATTAATTATAAAAAAAACCTTGCTATGTCCACTGCATTAGGCTAACTGAGACTTGTCACAGCACTTACATATTATTGCCCTTTTGTTGGATTTGATTGCTTCTATAGTCCTCATTTGTAAGTCGCTTTGGATAAAAGCGTCTGCTAAATGACTAATTGTAATGTAAATGTATTTTGTCATGGGAATTTCTAATGAATGTAAAAAATTTTCTTGGCTAAGTTTCAGTTAACTAAACTACATAAGGACTACAACTACCACAAGGATGTGCTTGACAAATCAGACAACTGTTGTAGTTCTCATTTTACTCATAAATTGAGTGAAATAAAGTTTAATAAGGAATTGAAAATCCATTGAGAACTCGTGGCTCAAAAATAGCAATTCTCTTTCAAGTTTTATGACAAACTTTGTACAAACGGAACAGCTCTATCCTTGAAAGTTTCTTTTACCATTTCAGCTGGATTCTGTCTAACACCGGCAGAAGTTCTCTGATGTTTTCACAAGAGATTTTGCTCTTTCTAAAATCCAACTTCAAATTTAGAGCTTGATGTTGCAGCAGGTAATGAATCACATCCCAGGTCAGTGAGCAGGAAGTCAGATCCTCAGACACCTTCTTCAGAAAGCAGCGTGTCAGTTCATCATCCTGTGCTTCATACACCACTGAAACCAGCTGCTGAAGAGCATCTTTAGAGAGCCTGAACACACAGACAGAACAGGATTCAGAACAGAATTTGGTTTACTCACAAAACATGGGCCAAGCCACTGTGCTGAACACAAATCTGATAGTCTGGACCTCACTGGACAGACAACAGACTCAGGAGAGTCAAGCTGCTAAGAAAATGAAAGGGATTTTGCTTTGAGTCTTTTGAGACACGATTATGACAGAATATGCTTTGTATGTTTTATGTGATTTTCATGCGATTTTGGGTATTTTCATAACAATAACACTGTCACGAATCCGGTCTATGAACTTCAATTCACTCACCACCAGAGGTCACCCTTCCATTACATTGACTCTCGCACTACACAAACTGTTGCATGTCATCCCGGACTTCATATCCCATCATCCATTGCACGGATTGCACACAGCACTGATTGCACACAGCGAGTCTAATCACAGCTGATCTTCATGAGGCAAGTCAACTCACAGTTGATCTTCCTGAGTCAAGTCAACTCACAGCTGATTTTCCTGAGTCAAGTCAACTCACAGCTGATCTTCCTGAGTCAAGTCAACTCACAGCTGATCTTCCTGAGTCAAGTCAACTCACAGCTGATCTTCCTGAGTCAAGTCAACTACAGCTGATTGGCAGGACCCACCGCTATTGTCGGCACGTGCAGCTGGTATAAAGCTGGTATAAACCCTAAACCAGCACTCTTAAGCCCTCCAGTTCCTGAACTATTTCCCGTTCTGTTCTGTTCCGGCCAAGGAGGCCATATGAACTCGCTACCTGTCCTGTCACGGCTATGAAGGCCGCCTGTGAACTCTCTGACAGTCCTGTAACGGCTATGGAGGCCGTCTGGGAACTCCCTGCCTGTCCTAACATGGCTATGAAGGCCGTCTATGAACTCTTTACTTGAAATTTCATAGTCTTAGCCTAGTCTTGCCTTGTCTGAGTCCTCGTGTTCTGATCTTTGCCTGTGCACTTTGGATTACCTCTCTCGTCTTGCCCTGTTCGGATACTGTTTGGCCCTGCCTGGACCTTTGCTTTGTACCAGGATTATCTCTCTAGTCTCGTCCTATTGGATTATGTTCGTCGTCGATTGACCCTCACTGTTTACCGAACTGCCCATGCCTTGTCTCTTACATACCTGTTTGCCAATGTTTGATTTATGCCTGTTTCTGACCACGTCTCCAGAATAAAGCTTTGCACATGGATCCGCACGTCTCACGTCTCGTCAGCCTCGTAACAGACACATAGTATTAATCTTATAAATTGTTTTATGCAGCATGATGCTAATTGTAGCCCTACCTGTTACCCTTCTGCTATTATATTTGATAATGTATTCTGTCAAAAGAATTCATGTAAGGTTGTAAGAAACTGTTTTGTTTTGTTTTATAGCACTTTTTAAATATAATATAAAGATGTATATAATAAATGTTAATTTAGGCGGTGTGGGCCAGGAGGCACTGGACTGTGAGGAGTAGATTAAGATGTTTATGTTTGAAAAATAGGAGGCAAAAATGTTCTGCACTGGTTGTGTGGTGTGTAGATGAAAAATGGCTTTAATGCATTGTTTAAAGACCTTATGCTATGTTTATGTTTGACTACACTGCAAACGGTCCCATTTTAACTGTTATGTTGTATTCAATAAATGTTCTGCAGGTTAGCTTTTTATACAATATGCTTTAATGGTCAAAAGCAATAGCAAAAGTAATAGATCAATATTATTACATTGCAGACAAAGATTTTGAATAGCTAGGCTGGCTTGTACACTATGTTGCCAAAAGTATTGGGACACCCCCTTCTAATGAACAGGTTTGACTACTTTAGTAATTTCTCATTTTTAGTAAAAAAAAAAAAAAAAAAAAAGCATATAATGCTATTCTAGGGAATTGTGTGCTGCTTATTTTATACCAATAGTTTGAACAGGACCATTTTCTATTCTAACACAACAATGCCTCTGTGTACAAGGCAAGGTTAAAAAAAGAAAAGATTGATTCAGTCAGTGTGGAAGAACTTGACTGGTCTGCAGAAAGCCAAGTCCTAATCCCAGCTGAACACCTCTGGTGTGACTTTAAATGCAGACCTTGAGCCAAAAACTCATCACCAAACACCAGTGACTTGTACATACATATGGACAAATGTATTGGGACACCCCCTTCTTTAGAACAGAAAAAGGCACTTCCAAAACTGTGGTATCAAAGATGGAAACATAATTCATGTATTTAAAAATGGTATTACTATCTTTGTTGCCACAGTTTTGGAAGTGTCTAAAATGATTCTACGCATATGTACAAGTCATTGGTGTTTGGCGATGAGTTTTTTTTTTTGTTTTATTGAGTTTTCCCAATACTTTGGGCAATATAGTGTATGTTTGGTGCGGTAGGGGGCCCAACCTCATATTCTTTCATAGGGCCCAAAATTGCTAGCGGCGCCCCTGTCTCCCAGAAGTGCTGAAACTCCAAACAGAGAAGAAACCAATAGAGCTGAGAGACTGGACAGATGAAGAGAGTGAAGTGAAGGGATTCCTCCAGTGTCTGCCCTACATCTCACAGCTGAGGTGAGAGTCTCATGTGAAAACATTACTCTGGATTTGTTTTGTTTTCATATTTCCTTCTCAGTTAGAATTATTGCAATTTATTTATTTTTGTGAGTTACACAGAGCAGAACTACATTTCACACCATCTCAAAAACTGACTGAATTGATGATGATCCCAATAGTGCTGTTAGTAGAGCTATGAGTAACTTAAAATGTTGCTCCTCATCACAGTGTCCCTAATCCTGTAAATTTTGATAAATCTATTTATCCCTTTTTTCTTTCTGTTTTAAGATTAAGGTTATAATTATGAAACTGCTCCCATATTTCATATTATCCAGCACTAGACATTGAAGTGTGTTTACATTTGTGTCTCCACAGATTTTATCCCTTTGTTTTCTATGAGAAGAAAAGGTCTGTCCAGTTTCTGGTGAATCTGATTATTTCAGCATCAGAGTTTGATAAAACGACTGGTGAAAATAACACTGAGCTGTTCACATCTGTGTGCAGCTACACATCTTTCCCCTTCAGTGAAAACTACACTAACTGTCATGCTGCTCAGTGTAACTTCCTGCTGGATCTGTGTTCACATGTGAAGGACTATGAGACTCAAACAGGCAGGAGTGTCCTTCCAGCATTACAGCCAATTTATCAGTCAGCTCCTGCAGTCTGGAGCATAGATCTCTCAGAGAGAAAGAGCTCCATCCTCCTAGAAGTGCTGAAACTCCAAACAGAGAAGAAACCAGTAGAGCTGAGAGACTGGACAGATGAAGAGAGTGAAGTGAAGGGATTCCTCCAGTGTCTGCCCTACATCTCACAGCTGAGGTGTGATAAACAATGCATTTTATTTGACTATTGTACATAAGATGTTGTGCTTTTTCCACCACATACGGTAAACATAAGCTATATATAGTGCAAATATTTTTACTGAAGATAAGACAAACAATATGCTTGAATATTACCAGGGCAGGAGAATTTTATATTATTTAAATGTTTATTTAACGGGTTTTCCTGGCTCAAAATGAGGCGAAGGTGGTACCATCCTGATCATGTGCACAAATGCACTTATACCATGGCTTCAACTTTTTACAATATATATTAGGTGTTCTAATAATTTGATGGAGGAAGAAAATTACAATTATCAAATTAAGTTACATAATTCATTCAGAACCTGTTTTATGGACATATACTTTCTGCACCACACTATTCTGCTTATATGGAATGAGTTTGACTACTTAGTCAGTTATATTAATAGAAATGCTTCACTGGGGCAAACAAAAAAATCCTAAAATAATAAATAGGATACCCCATAACACCAGCATTTCCAGCAGTATCCAACATTTCTCAATCATGATCTTACTCAGCTAAATGTGACTATAACTTAACAGCTGTGTTGCTTGTTTGCTAGCTACCTATGCACATACAGCATACAATATTAAAAATATTCTACATCATGAACCTTAACCCAAAAACCTTTAGCTTCATACACTGTGTAAGTTAGATAATTGTGACCCTGCCTAGCTGTGGAAACCCAGCTAAAGTGTTTTTTTTTTTTAAACAGTGCATGAGTTCACTCTTTGACTCTTTGATTTGCTTAATGAAATCAATATAAAAAATAAAAATCAATTCACTCTTTGATTTGCTTAATAAAAGCCTCATTTGAGATCGTTTTGACAGACATGTTTTTTTGTGTATTATTTTCAACGTGTTTATTACTAAGTTTAGTGTGGAAAAATAGAAGCGCGCGTGCAGTGTATCTGGTTGCCATGACAACCTCATGCGCTTCCTGCTGCTGCTCTATGTAATCAGAGTATGAATTTGTAGATTTTCTATAGCAAAACTAAAATGTGTTTAAAAGTGCGACTGACCAAATCGTCCGGCTCGGTTTTCCCCCCTCGAACTTGAAGGTATCTCTAATTTGACAGTTTACCATCTTTTATTTATTTATTTTTTATTACAAAACTTGTAGAAACATACGGTGCGTTCGACTTCATGCGGCGCCGCGCAAAACGATCGGCGGCTGACTTGAAGCAGTGCATGCCGGTTAGAAATTTTGTACGACTTGAACAGGTGTTACGAGATTTTCGGTTTCCGAGATTTTCTGTTTCAGTGGGCGGAGCATGCATGAATATTCATGAGTTTCCCGGACATGCGCGTGGAACCAGGTAGACTGAGAATTTCAGTTCATGGTCCTTGTATCTCAGCAGGTTTAATGGGATATATATATTTTTAAAAAGGTAAATATATTTACAGTGTTGCACAAATTACATTTGTTTATCATTTCCTAACAGTTTATAATGTTTTTATTAGTTTACAGTGCACGTTTTGTGCAGTCGTCCCTGACTGAATGATTGCAGGCATTCTTTGTGTAATGTTAGGATAAAGCACAGCAAACTTCAGCTAGTTGTAGCCTATACATTGATTTCAGTTCTTTGTGCTCTTCATTTCTAGCTTGCGATGCTTTAAAACTGTGTCTGTTATTAGTGGTTATCATTTGTTGAATACATCACTGCCTGCAACAAATGAAATAAACGTATCTGTGGACATTTTTGTTTTGTTTTTGTATACTGGTGTGATGATCCATGTCTTAACTTGCCCCGTTCAGCATTCTCCATGTTGTCTGGTTGTGAATTGTCTGCTGTCTGGTTGTAAACTATGATACAATCATACACTGCTGCAAAAACATGTTGCTGAAATTTCTTTCTTTTTTTCATGTTTCCAATGTAAAATAGTTAAACATTTTTACAAACAATTATCACAAGGTTTATGGTTCCATTTGCACAGTGAAACCAAAAATCCCAGAACACCTGGATGATTACAGCTACAGGTTTCCAATAGTAGCGCAGATCCAACTACCATTTCAATTATTTATTTTTATGCTCTTCTGTTACCTTTTAAGTTTTAAAACTGTCATCTTCTGGCAATGAATGAAATAACATTCACCACCATATCAGTGGCCTAATAAACATTTTGCAACCTACACTGATGTTATTCTGTGTCATCTGTTCTTTGACCATGTGTTGCACTGTACCTGGATGATACACGATGATCATTGATAAAAATGCATGGTCTATTTTGATGCACAACAAACACTCATGCAACATTATTTATAGGCCAAGTCATAAAGTTTCATAAACATATATAATCTTAATTAGGCTTTTTTTCTACATAAACTGTTCCCTCCTGGTGGAATGACCTGCCCAACTCAATTCGAGCAGCTGAGTCCTTAGCCATCTTCAAGAAACAGCTAAAAACACATCTCTTCCATCTATATTTGACCCTCTAACACATGCACTCTCTATTCGTTTTCCAACTGCTTGTTTTCGTTAAAAAAAGGCCTCTAACACTAGCTTTCTCTATTCTTTTTCTATTCTATCTACTTGTTTTCTTTTTGTGGTGTATGTGTGTTGGTGTGAATGTTTGATATTATGTGAGACAGTGACATTTTGTTTTTAAAAATATGAATTCAATAGTGATTCACACTCAAAATCCAGGAAAATGTTACTCATGGAGGATGCGATTAATAAAGTAAAGTTTTCCTGAATTTTGAGCATGAATCACTATTGAATCCTTGTTACAAAAGATGTATGCACCAAAACAAGACAACATAGGATACAAGAGAGTGTGATGTTAACGTCCTTGTAGAATCTGCTGTATAAAAATATGACATAATAAAGCTAAAAAAAAAAAAACAATTCTTCACTTGATTCTGGCATTTGATACATGACATTAACATTCAAAAGTTTAGGATTACTATGAATTATTTTCTTTTTTTTAAGAAATGTATATTTTTGCTCTTCAAGAATGCATCAATTTAATAAAAATGACAGTAAAGACATTTATAATGTAAAAAAAAAAGATTTATATTTCAAATAAATGCTGTTCTTCTGAACTTTCCATTCATCAAGGAATCCTGTCGCTGTATAATGGTTTCCACACTTCATTAAGCAGTACAACCATTTTCAACTCTGATAATAATCAGAAATGTTTCTTGTGCAGACAATCAGCATATTAGAATGATCTCTGAAGGATCATGAGACACTGAAGAGGAGTTGAGATCTGACATCACAGGGGGAAAAA